GAGGTGTTTTAATGATTGGAACAAGTTTGGATGGTGTTTTAGCATGTGTTGGTGTTTTTGGTTGAGGTTCAGGGGCCTCGGGGTGATTTCGGATGGTTAATGGGAAGTTTTGGACTTGTGCAACTCAGAATTTGCTGCTGCTTCTGGTATTTCCGCTTCTGCAGAATTGGGACCGCAGAAGCGGTGTCGCCCATGCGAAGAGGAGGCCGCAGAAGCGAGGGTTGGCCTGGTCAGCTATTTTCGCAGAAGCGGACCAAGAGCCGCATCTGCGAAGCCACAAATGCGGGATTTCGACCGCAGAAGCGATTCAAGGGAGGCTAAGTGATTTTTGCGGATACAGAGTTTTGACCGCAGAAGCGGTACCGTGGAAGCGGTAATTTAACCGCAGAAGCGGTTATGTCTGGGCAGAAGGTATTTAAGTTCTTCTTCGCGAAATTTTGAAGGGTTAGTCATTTTCACTTCGGACTTAGAGTTTTTGGGCGATTTTGAAGAGAGATTTCAAGGGAACTTCGATAAGGTAAGGATTTTGGACTTAAAACACACTTATATGGTGGTATTTCATGAATTAGGACTGAAAATTTAAGGAATTAATGGACAAAAAAATGATGGTCTAGGGCTTGAACTTAAGAGAGCATAAATTAAGGATTTGAAGGGCTAATTGAACTCCGATTCTTGTGATTTTGATATGTATGAACTCTTGGGGAGATAAGGACTCTAATGATGTAAACATTTCTGAGTTTCGAGAAGTGGGCCCGGGGCTCGGGTTTTGCTAATTTCGGAAATTTTGATATTTTTTGATTGTTTTCGCTTGGTCTTTGTTCCCTTAGCATATTGTGACGTATTCGTTCTGGTTTTGGTCAGATTCGACGTGCAAGGAGGCCGATTTGAGAGGCAAGGGCATAGTGAGCTAGAGCTTTAGCCGTTTTGAGGTGAGTAATGAATGTAAATGGTGTTCTGAGGGTTTGAAACCCCGAATTTTCACATCATAGTGCTATATTGAGGTGAGACACGCGTTTGATGATGAGCGTGAGATCGTTTACTATTGGGGATTGTGACTTGGTCCATCCTGAGTGACGCTTTTATCGCGTATTTGATTAAAGCTTATTTGTTATCCTCATTAATTGGATTGATTGTCATATTTGGGCTTCGTGCCAACTATTTGAACCCTCCGGGGAGTTTTATCACTATTTCCTCACTATTTAGACTTACTACTTGAACTCATACGTACCGTTTTCCACTGTTTTACAACTCAACCACTTTTACTCGGTTTTTGAAACTAAAAAGATATATTAAATGATGTTTTGGGCTGAGAACTACTGTTTTACTAAATGTCCGAGAGGCTTATATGATTTTTGGACTGAGTATGGTCAAGGGCCAGATGTGAGGATACTATGGGATCGGGCTGCACACCGCAGCAGTATTATGTTGATATTGATATGAGGCCGAGGGCCTAGTTGATGCCACGAGATGGCTTGATATTGCGCTTGGGCCGTAAAGGGCCCCTCTCGGAGTCTGCACACCCCTAGTGAGCGCCGTCGACGATAAATAAACGGATCGGGCTGCACGCCGCAGCGAGTACTATAAAGTACCGTTCTATGTGTTGATTTTCGTTATATGTCTGTCATTTAACTGCTTATTTGTTGTAGCATCTCCATATTTCGTTTCCATTGGTTTATTGCTTTCATATTACTTGTTTAAACTGCCGCATTATAGATTACTCTGTGATTTCCGTGATTTCTTATTCTCAGTCATTATTTATGCTTATTACTCACTGGGTCGGAGTACTCACATTACTCCCTGCACCTTGCGTGCAGATCCAGGTGTTCCAGAGGCTGAGTGAGGATATTCAGTCGATCAGTTCATATCCGGGAGCATCGAGGTAGCTGCACGGCGTCCGCAGCCCGGATCTCTCCCTTCTATCCTTTCGTTTTATCCNCTCGAGACTTGTGACACCAGATCTGTATGGGTTATGTAGTGGTATTATCATCTGAATTTCCGCATATTTGACTCGTTGTCCTAAACTTTTATAATGATAAACTAGCAATTTAACTGTGTTAGCTAATAATGAATTGTATAAGAAAAGGGTCGAGGTTGTTAGTTGGTCAGGCTTGCCTAGCAGTGTGTTGGGCGCCATCACGACCGAGGTTGGGGTCGTGACACTTCCTGTCCTTAACTTCATATGTGTAGTGTAAATATTAAGGACATGACATCCTTAACTTTATGTGTGCAGTGTAAATGTTAAGGACATAGTATCCTTAACTTTATGAGTATTGTGTAAATATTAAGGACATGGTGGCCTTAACTTCATGAATGCTGTATAAATATTAAGGACAAAGTGTCATATATATGCACCTTCCGTTGTTAAACTTTAGGACATCATGTCCTTAACTTCATATGTGCAGTGTAAATGTGAAGGACATGACGTCCTTAACTTCATGTGTGCAGTGTAAATGTTAAGGACACTATGTCCTTAATATTTACACAGCACTCATGAAGAAAGGGTAAAGATATTTTTTCGTATTAATTTTAATAGAGTAGTGGCTATTTTTGCTCAACATTAAAAATACTAGATAAAAACTAAATACCATGTTAAAAAGTGGCTATCCCACGCCATGTCTACCTTGAAATCTTGAGACGACCCATATATAGCAGGAGTAATTCTTTTGCGGAAATGTCCCAAATAAGTCCTAACCTACCAACCTCTAGCCATTAATCATTGGCTTACCAAACCTAGCCAAGCATATACAAAACTTGAAAACCCAAATAACTAAGAATTCTTTCTCACCAAGAATCGCATGCAAAGATCTCCTTCCATGTTTTAAGCATGATTAGCAATACTTAATGTAAGACGGAAAGAAAAATTTATGGATGAAGAAGCGAATAGGGTGATGAATATATATATATATATATATCAAAAAATCTAAGCAAAAACGAATCTTATTCAATGGATATGGTTGAAATTTATTGAAAACATATAGATGAGCCGATATATAATATTTGAGGAAGATTGGAGGTGATTTGGACTAATATGGTATAAATTCGTATTAAATCAAGTTAAAAAATTCTTCTGCGGCACATGTATCACACATTATCTCACACACAGGTATATATGGATATACATGTGATACACATTTGATACAAATATAATACATATGTGATACAGAAATGATACACTGTGTGATACACATATCATCTTTTTTCATGTTCATCTTCTACAGTGAATTTTCAATTCAAACCACCTCAATACTTTATCAAATCATCCTAAAACTGATATTTAAACTCCTTAAGATGTATCTAATCTATTGCAACAACACTCACTCAAAATAAAGCAAAAGTTTGTCATTGTTTTTGGCTATAAATAGCTAACTGGCTAATATCAATAATATTTTATGAATTGATTAATTTCTGTATTAACTAAATTATGGATTGACATAACTGATAATTTTCCAATTTTGTTTGGCTTTCTCATCTCCAAAATTATTGGCCTTCTTGTTTGGGGATCGCACTTTCTTATACTAACCGCCTAAATTCAAGATCTCAACAACAAAAACAGAAACAAAATTATTTAGTGGAACTGTGGAAGCGACAGATGAATCTTGTTAGAGGAGTGCATCGACTGAAATTACCTCCCCCTTGCGGGGAAGTGCACAATTAATCACTAATTAGAGATGTCTTTATTAAGGATATAATGTCCTTAAATTCACGAATTCTGTGTAAAAATATTAAGGACAAAGTGTCATGTATTTGCACCTTCCATTATTAAACTTTAGGACATCATGTCCTTGACTTCATATGTGCAGTGTAAATGTTAAGGACATGGCGTCCTTAACTTCATGTGTGCAGTGTAAATGTTAAGGACATAATGTCCTTAGCTTGTATTTGCACCTTCTGTTATTAAACTTTAGGACCTCATGTCCTTAACTTCATATATGCATTGTAAATGTTAAGGACATAGTGTCCTTAACTTTATGTGTGCAATGTAAATGTTAAGGACATAGTATCTTTAACTTTATAAGTATTGTGTAAATATTAATGACATGGTGTCCTTAACTTCATGAATGTTGTGTAAATATTAAGGACAAAGTGTCTTGTGTTTGCACCTTCCGTCGTTAAACTTTAGGACATCATGTCCTTAACTTCATATGTACAGTGTAAATGTTAAGGACATGTCGTCCTTAACTTCATGTGTGCAATGTAAATATTAAGAACACCATGTCCTTAATATTTACATAGCACTCATGAAGAAAGGATAAAACTGTCTTTTCATATTAATTTTAATTGAGTAGTGACTATTTTTGCTCAACATTAAAAATATTGGATCAAAACTAAATACCATATTAAAAGGGACTATCCCACGCCATTTCTACCCTCTTACCCCCACCACCAACCAAAAAGAAAAGCAAATCCAACTACTATGACTGAATTTTGGTTACTAGCGGATGATGATCAATAGATTTTCAAACTCTAGTTTGACATCACGAAGAGGGCTTTACAAAACCAACTTTACCGTTTTTATTCACTCGGATATCAACCCAAATTATTCTGTAAATGACTCCTCTGAGCTAAACCAAAAAATATAGAATAAGTATAGTATAAACTCTACCAATTAGATAGAAAAAACTCTGAAGAGCTATAATTGTGTGCGGATCCCGGGACAAATTTTCTAAATAACACTAACTTTTGATACATTCGACCAAGATAGCTCCTTACTGGGCCATTCCTTTCAATAACCCGATCGAGCTAAACCAATTGTCATCAATATATGATGCCGTTTCTCTTTTCTTTTTTCCTTTAATTTTATTTTCGTAATGTCAAACTTGACACTTTGGTCTGCCTAAGTAAAAGTCAAAGCAATATCTTTCCCATGACCTCAAACTTTCTTCCCATCCACGTACTTTCAGTAGAAAGAGTCGGGTCAAAGCAGAAGTCTCTTAGAAATGAACAAGGCGGGGGAGAAATTAATTTCTTGTTTGAATTCTTCTTCGTCGTCTTAGCCATCCATTCTAGACTCCTTACACCCAACTCATAAATATTACCACCTCTAATTCCACCTCTCATCCTATAATCCAAGCAAAAGTTGATTGTTATCTCTCTCTCAAAAACCCACTTTGATACTTGCTCTTTCCTTTAACAATTAGCTAGATCGCCTTGTTCAGATTCTTGTGTTACTGAATGGAAGACGCTTCGAGCAGTAATAGCAATAAACTAGATGAGTCAGGTGCGTTAGCTTTCATAGGAAAGATTATGTTGGGGGTAATCATATTTCTGTTCCTGGTTGTGATCTTCATATTCTTCCTTCACCTTTACGTGAAGTGGTCCAGGAGTCGTCGCCGGCAAGAAGACTCCAATGGCGGCACAGAGCGCCACCACAAAGTCAAAGTTCAGGGACTTGACCCGTCAATACTCAAAACAATTCCTGTACTTGCATTTGATGCTAAAGAATTCAAAGATGGAACACTGGAATGTACTATTTGTCTTTGTGATGTCACTGAGGGTGAAAAGACAAGATTTTTACCAAAATGTAATCATGGGTTTCATGTTGATTGTATTGACATGTGGTTTCAATGTCATTCCTCTTGTCCTCTTTGTCGTAACGCAGTTTCCACAACTGGGGATAAAACACTCGAGTCAGTGGAATCGGAGGTTGAGGCTTCAACAGAGTTGCCTAATTTTCCGACCAATGTGCTGTATTGGGGAAATGAGACTCAAGTTAGCACCTTGTGTAGTAATCCTTGTTTGGAGTCAACAGCATCTACGAGTAATAACCGGCCACATGGAATGTTGGTTATCGATATTCCAGGGCGAATTAATGAAGAAGAGTCGAAATCTGTAATGCCTGAAAGACTGAGGCGTTTGATGAGGCTTTTGAGCGGGGATAGAAGGGCGAATAATCCTTCTAGTTCGCGAAATGTAGATATAGAACAAGGAGGTGGTAGAAGCCCGAGCTAGCACGGACTCAGAGAGCGATTCAACAAGTCAGTTTGGTTCCCTTTATATTTATATATGCCTATTGTGTAGTACATAAAAAAGATGCACTAACCTCCCGTTATGCGTGGGGTCCGGAAAGGATCGGACCACAAGGGTCTATCGTAGTACATACTATAATGTTAATGCAATTAAGGTACAAAGTTCATTGATTCTTGATGCAGATGAAAAGTTGACACTTTGGTGTCTGTATCTTTTAGGTGTATAGGTAGTGGATATATTAGTACATGTATAAACATATATATATATATATATAGGCTTCTCTGTTTGAGAATAGAGGCAATCTATCTTCTCTTAAGAAGAGTGTTAAAATCATTTTTTTGTCAACGTGGGCAGTGAGCTTTCATGTATGCTACAATCTAGATAAATTTACACCTCACTTGAAATATCTTCGCATGCAATGCCTTGCAAGCAATTATTTAATTTTAGTGGTGTAGAAAAGGACGGATCTACCTTATGAGGTCGGGGTGCCATGCTATCCGTTCGCTACGCTAAAAAATTTACTATGTATGTAATATATACGTAAAATAACAAATATATCAAAGTCGATGTGGGTGCTTGGTTCAGCGTCCGTTCTGTAAGCTATCATTGACCTCGTGAATGCAGGTCGATTCCTACAAGAGGGTTATTCTTTGTTTCTCTCCTTTTTCCTGGTTTTCCTTTATTTTCAATTGGGCCCTAGCCTCACCTCTTTTTCCTTTTTTTTTCCCTTCGTTTTCTTTTCCTCTTTTTTCTTCCTTTTATTTGCCGAGTTTCTCTCTTCTTCTTTAAACTTTTGTATACCGGTCTTTATTTTGTTTCTACTTTCTATTATTATACCTTAATTCATGAACATTTTTTTCCGGTGGCTGAACTGCAGGGATTTCTATTGTTGAGCCGGGTGAGCCAGGCTGCACTCGCCTTTTTGAATTGGCTATGCCGAAAGAGTCCCCACGTCCGCTTTTCTCCGCCCGCAATCCAATAAGTTGGCAAAGCCAACACAAGATTAGGGTCGTCTCATTCATTCTATACTGACCCCGGCCCGGGCTGGCTTCTTGGGAAGCCCATTCGCATCATTCATCCGGTGCTAACGGGTCACGTAAGTTAGTTAGCATATAATGTCTTTTTTTTTATGATACAATATTAATTTAAATATTAGAATATAATTGGAATCATCTTTTCTACTGGCTTTTGAAAAAAAATAACTTGATTAATAGTCATTTTGGGTTGATTATTATAGGTTGAACATTGAAGGTTTCGCTTTAAACATATTATCATATAACTCGACAATTAACATGTAAAAAATAACCCAAGAATGATAAAGGTAAATTAATCTAGTCAAACAAAGAATATGTAGTATAAGCTATTCTTTAAGCAAAAAAATTCATTGGAGACACTCTTTCATGAATAAAAATGAACCTAAATCGAACTTATTTGCTTTGCGAATGAAAGACCTATTCGAGTTAACCATAAACTAACCGGACCGACCTTTCCTTCCAATTCGGTCATGTAGTTAGTTATAGGTAATACTTAGAGGCGTACGCATCAATTTTCATAAATAGTGTCAACATTTGAAGAAGTGAACGAATGAATAAATAACTATAGTGACAACGTCAATTTTTGTATTTATATCCAATATTTTTATTTTATTTTATTTTATTATTTATATATTATATATTTAGTAAAAGTTTTTGGAGAAGCGATGTCATGTGACACCGATTGGTGTCATGTATATTCGCCCCTGGATATACTATATGCATAAAGTAGTGGCACCTGCATCCTCCGATTCCTGGATCCGCCTCTGTGTAGAATTAATATTCCTTTAACGGTCAAAGAAATGTAAACAACTGCTACTTATTTGCTGAATTCAAGTTGGTTTAGGTCTGCTTTTTTTATTGGTTGCTTTTGCTTCTCTTTCACAAAAACACACACACGGAGAGTTGAATCACTTGATCAAACTCAAGAAGAATCTTTTGGTTTAAACATTATTGATCCTTCAATGATACAACTGAACCTTGTCGATACTACGTACCTTTGGTCATGGGAGGAGCCAGGGTAGTGGAAGGATATATAAGGAAAAAAGTTTTATTATGCTTATATATTAGTTGTTGAATCCCTTTGATTTCTTCAAGTATTTATTTTTGTTATTTGATAGAACCTCTTGGTGAAAATTCTGCTTCCGCTAATGTCTTTGGTATTCAACCAAGCTAAAGTGACAAGTGAGGCTTGCTCAATTGGTAAAAGCACCTCCACCCACGACCGTTAGGATTTGGGTTCGAGTCACGTTGGAGGAAAGTGTGGAAACACTATAGATCCTCCTAATTAGGGAGGGGTTAAAAAAACAAGCTAAAGTATGTTCCTCCATAGAACTAGCTAAGCGTTGGTAGATCATTATGTTGAAATTTTTTACATATGTAGAGCCGTCATAGCAGAAATTAAACAAGGAACGTACCTTCAGTCATAGTTGTTCAAGAATATTATCTGATATATTATTTCCTTTGGGAGACAAGCTAAATAATTTATTACCTTATATGTGGGCCATACTAGAAGTCTCTAGAAGAGACGGTAAATTTTTAACATTCTCCCACTTGGTCCACATATTAAAATCAGATAATCCTTTATGAGAGATAAACATATAATATGGCCATAGACTTTATCACTCAATTAAAAGTTATGCAACAATCACTTTAACTAGAACATATCATTACATCATGGCGGTCATGCTTTTAAACAAACAATTCCTTCCATGTATTACAATGTACAATATGTTCTAACAAAGTGTCAACAACTTTATGAATGAACTTAATATAAGTCATTCAGAGTCCAACTTTATTGATCCAATGATCACAAAATAATATATGAAAAACCAAGTATGCACTGTCATGTATATCAAAATAAGCATAATGTCTAGACAAACTGTTAAAGGGCAAAGCAAGACTAAATTGAGTTACTAAGCCCCATATGGGTTACATGATCCTTGAAAATATTAGCCGGCAGACCTTTAGTCATAGGATCAACAATCATCAAAGTAGTACTAATATGCTCAAAACTCACACCTTGCTTCTTCACATAGTCTTTAACCATCAAGTACTTTACGTCGATGCACCTGCTTTGGCTGCCACTTTTATTATTCTTAAAAAAGAACACTGCAACTGAATTGTCACATAAGATTCTCAATGGCCTTGAAATGGAATCGATAATCCTAAGGCCGAAAATAAAGTTTTTCAACCCTAACGCCTATGATGTAGCTTCATAGCATGCAATTCAGCTTCCATTGTGGATGTTTCAACAATGGTTTGCTTGACACTTATTCAAGACACAACACCTCCACCAAAAAGGAAAATGTATCCTGAAGTAGATTTACCAGTGTCTTTGCATCCATCCAAATCAGAGTCTGAATATCCAATCATCTTCAATGAGTCAGAGTATCTGTATGTGAGCTTAAAATACTTGGTTCCTTGAAAATATCTCAAAACCCTTTTACCAGCTTTCCAATGGTCAAGACTAGAGTTACCTTGATATCTGCCAAGCATTCCTACCGCAAAAGCAATATCAGGTGTAGTACAGACCTATGCATATATAAGGCTCCCAACAAGCGAAGCATAGAGAATATCTTTCATTTGCTCCTTTTTCAATGCATTTTGTGAACATTGATTCAAAGAGAATTTGTCACCTTTAATTATGGGTGCTGCTATAAGTGAATAATTTTTCATCCCAAATCTTTCCATAATTCTTTCAATGTAGGCCTTTTGAGACAGTCCAAGTAATCTTTGGGATCTAACTCTGTGAATCTCTATGCCAATGACATAAGAGGCTTCACATATATCCTTCATCTCAAAATTCTAGATAAGGAACTATTTAGTCTCGTGCAATAATCCCAAATCACTACTTGCAAGTAAAATGTCATCCACATATAGGACTAGGAAAAAATATTTGCTCCCACTTATCTTAAGGTATATACACCGATCAATGATGTTCTCCATAAACCCAAATGAAGAAACAACATTATGAAATTTAATACACCATTGGCGGGAAGCCTGGTTTAGTTTATAAATGGATTTATTCAACTTGCAAGCAAGGTGACTTTTGTCCTTATCATAAAATCCTTGAGGATGACGCATGTATACCTCCTCTTCAAGATCTCCATTTAGGAAAGCTGTTTTCACATCCATTGATGTAACTCTAAATCAAAATGAGCTACTAATGCAATGATTATTCGCAATGAATCCTTCTTTGATACTGGCGAGAAGGTTTTATGGTAATCAATGCCTTCCCTTTGAGTAAAACCCTTGGTTACAAGTCTGGTTTTATATCGTTCGATATTACCAGATGAGTCTCTTTAAGTTTTAAAGATCCACTTAGAACCTATGCTAGAGGATCCCTTTGGTAATTCGACGAGATCTCAGACTTTGTTTTTAGCTATAGATTCTAATTCTTCTTTCATGGAATCATACCAAAGTGTGAAGTTTTCTCCACTCATGTCTTGTGAAAACGAGCATGGATCATCTTTTAGTCCAATATCATAATCAGACTCTTGGAGATATGCAACATAGTCGCTAGAAATTGCTGGTTTTTGAACTCTTGAGGATTTTCTTACTCCCACTATTTCAGACACTTCTTCAGTGGGTTCAGATAAAGCAGGTTGATCTTCATGTGGCTCCTCAAGTGGTGGTGGCTCTTGAACTTGTTGTTGTTTAGATAATTCATGAGAATTTTTCTGAGCAACATTCAAGTTCCAAATAAATAAAGGTACCACAGGTGGTTCCCTTATTTCTTCAAGTTTCACTTTTTGAGACAAACCACTCCCTCTTTCTTCATGTTCCTCAAGAAATTTAGCATTTCTAGCCTCAACAATTTTAGGAGAATGAGAAGGACAATAAAACCTAAATTCCTTAGAGTTAACCGCATAGCCTATAAAATAATCGCTTATTGTTCTTTCATCCAACTTTTTTAGTTGTGGGTTATAAATCCTCACTTCAGTTGGACATTCCCAAATATGTAAATGATTTAAACTAGGTTTTCATCCTTTTCATAACTCAAAAGGTGTCTTGGGGACAGTCTTGGATGAAACCCTATTTAAAATATAGACAACGAGTTTTAAGGCTTCACTCCATAAGGATAAAGGTAAACTAGATCTGCTAATCATGCTTCTTACCATGTCCATTATTGTCCGATTCCTTCTTTCTGCCACACCATTTTGTTGTCGTGTTCCTGGCATAGTATATTGGGTAATTATACCTCCACTTTCAAGGAACTCAGCAAATGGACCTTTAATTTATCCCTTATCTTTGTACCTACCATAATATTCTCTACCCCTATCAGATCTTACAATTTTGATCTAAGCACCAGTTTCTTTTTCTACTTCTGTTTTGTAAACTTTAAAAGCATCAAGTGCTTCTGATTTGTTAAACAGAAAATAGAGATACATATATCTTGAATAGTCATCAATAAATGAGATAAAATATCTCTCACCATTCAAGCAAGGGGTAGGAAAAGGTCTACAGATATTTGTATGTATGATCTCAAGCAGTTGAGAACTTCTTTTGGAACTTTTAGTTGCTTAGTACCAATTTCTTTGCCATGAAAAGTTAAAACATTGCATTCAAATGTGGGGTCTAGCTGATGTTTATATAAATTCCCATTCAAATTTCCAAAACCAATAACTTTATTATCTTTCAAAAGTTTCACAGAAGGATAATGAAAATTCAAATCATATCCACTAATCGATAGTATTGAAAAAGAAATTAGATTTCTAGAATAGTCTGGAACATAAAAAGTATTTTCTAAATCTAAGTGAAAACAATCCTTCAAAATGAGCTTATAAGCCCCCACGCCCTTCCACACGTGAACGCGTCCTATTGCCAAAATAGACATATTGTTCACTTTCTATCAGCTTCCTCTAAGTTAGAAAGCCATGCATGATTTTAGCAGTGTTAATTGTAGCGCCAGAATCAATCCACCATGTATTATCAGAAACTTCAGTAAAATTAGATTCATAATATACAAAGGTGTCACGATCCCAAACCCAGACCGGGTCGTGATGGCGCCTTTCGTGAAGACAAGGCCAGCCGATACTTCT